TCTTTTAGGACTATTGTTATGTAATTACATGGATAAAATATCAAATTAAGGGCGGGAATAGCTACCTGTGCAGAAATGTGTTGCAATTTGCTTCTCCTCATGCCCCAAATCCCTCACCTGCAGAGTAAAGATGAGTGATTGACACCTCCATCACTGCCTTGGGGTCTTCTGTGCTGGGTGAACCTCCCCCATGATTAGATGCATGGACAGAACATGGATCTTGCCATTAAAGAATTTCTGCTTTCTCCTTCTCTTCACACTACACCCCAAAGTGGTAGTATTCAAAGACATAGCAGCATTAGTGTGTTAGCAGCATAAAATAGGGTTCTGAACCCACATGGTGCTTCAGGTGAGGAGTCACATTTGATGGCTTCCATGGGAAGAGACTGGAAACATAGACATTTATTGGAAATTGCCAGGATGCTGTGCTCAAGGGGGTGGAGTTAAAGGCACTATAGGGCCTGCTCACCACTCTACATGCCTCTGGGCCACTTTCCTCCTCATCCCACCATTGGAGATTATCGCATTAGGTTCACTGTTAGAATAGACCTGGGATGTAACTTTCTTAAAATGGATCTTATTGCATTCAACCATTGCTGGGCAGTATGCAACCTGGGCTTCTGCAGGCTTATCCTGCATCTTTTCAAGAATGGGAAACTCCCATTCTTGAAAAGCTGTGAGAGAAGCCTGGGTTGCATACAGGCTGCAAACTGCCCAGTGATGGGGGAATGTGATAAGATCCACTTTAAGAAAGTTATATCCCGGGTCTATCCTGGCAGTGAACCTAATGCAATAATCTCCATAGTTTTCCAACATCAAGAGCTCTACAGAGCAAATGGCATACACCTTTCTGAAGAAGGCAATATGCTATTCTTGGGAGACCTGCAACAGGGGTGATCACCCTAATGGCTGGCCTGGTGGGGAAAAGGAAATAAGCAAATGCTTGTCCCTTGTCCATGACAGGTAGCCAGTGGGAGATTGTGAGAGTTTTGGTGTACACCTTGGCATCCTTTTGCTGTAGAATAGGGCTGAGGAACTGCCTTTCAATGGTCCTGGGACCTGGAGTGGGAAAGGAGTCTACCCTTGATGGGGTTTAACTCTCACCTTCAAAGTCCTGGGACTTGGATGAGAATTCCCTGGATTTGCCTTCCAGTAGATAGCTGGACAGGGAGCAACCCAATTAACTGGATTGCCCCCAGGGCTCAGGTGTTTCACCCAAGGGAAGACTGAGGAGGTTGTCAAGGAATGACACCTGTCTTCAGCTGATCCTGCATCAGGTTACTCCTCTCTCTTGATCCTTTCCAGGTCTGCACTTGCAATTAGGTCAATAAAGTGGCCCTTAAGCCAAGTCCCTGTGCCCAGTCTTATTATTCTATGGTAGGTTATCAAAGATATAAAGGAATCCTATAGCACCTTTGAGACAGGATGAGAAAAAGTAATGTCTAGCATAAGCTTTTGTGGACTCTCGTTCACTTCATCTGAGTCAGATGCAAACAGAGTCCATGAAAGGTTTTACTAGGCATTACTTTTTCGCAACCAGTCTCAAATGTGATACAGGATTCCTTACAGGATAAGAAGGATTTCTGTTGTCTTATACCTAAAGGTAGTGAGAGAAGGAGGACAAGTCACTCCTCGTTCCTCTCTTGATACTTTGGATGAATGTCCAAAGGCAGTTGTTGATAACCGTAACAAAACTACTTGCTAGAGGTTTTCAGTAAGTTGTAAAACAAAACAAAACACAAAAAAGCATTTCCAAGCAGTGGTGTAAGGGAATATCTTCTTTGGCTCTGCTACCTGAGATCTTTTCCAGCCAGTGAAGAACTTAAACAAACAAACAAACAAAAGCATTTCCAAGCACTGGTGTAAGGGATCTTCTTTGGCTCTGCTACCTGAGATCTTTTCCAGCCAGTGAAGAACTTAAACTGGGATCTTCGCCACACAATTGGTTTGAATCAAGAGCCATGTATAGTGTCTTGTCCAGCAGAAATATTTAGGGTGGTAAGGGAGATGATGCAGGTTACACCTGCACAGAACCCGTTGCTTAACCTCACAACAGCCTGCTGTGACGCATTTAACAACTTCTTTGCAGATAAAATCTCTTGGATAAGAGCTGACTTAGACGCCAGCATTTTGACAGAAACAACTGACGAGGTGTCGAGCAATTCCGTTGATGTAAATTTACTGGATCAGTTTCAATCTGTGAGTACCGAGGACATGGACAAGCTACTTGGTAGAGTGAGGAAGACAACCTGCCCTCTTGATCCTTGCCCTTCATGGCTGGCCGTCCGGGGGGGGGGGATGCCTTGATGGTGTCCCTTAAGAACATCATCAATGCATCCCTCAGGGAGTGACACGTTCCATCTTGTTTAAAGGAGGCGGCAGTTAGGCCACTTCTGAAAAAACCTTCCCTGGCCCCCTGGACATGAACAACTATAGACCGGTCTCTACATTACCATTCTTAAGCAAAGTGATCGAGAGGGTGGTTGCTCTTCAACTCCAAGTGGTCTTGGATGAAACTGATTATCTAGACCCATTTCAAACTGGCTTTAGGATGGGATTTGGAGTTGAGACTGCCATGGTTGCCTTGATCGACGACCTGCGTCTGAGCATGGACAGAGATAGTGTTACCTTGTTGGTGCTCTTAGAACTATCAGCGGCTTTTGAAACGATAGATCATGGCATCCTCTTGGATCGCCTGAGGGGCTTGGGAATTGGAGGCACTGCTTTGCAGTGGTTCCATTCCTTCCTCTCAGGCAGATCCCAGAGGGTGCTGCTCAGGGACAGCAGCTCCGCAATAAAGGAGCTCACTTGTGGCATCCCTCAAGACGCCATTCTGTCCCTGATGCTGTTTAACATCTATATGAAACGGCTGGGTGAGATTATTTGAAGCTATGGGGCTGGGTGTTATCAGTACGCTGATGACACCCAGATCTATTTCTCCCTATCTCAATCGTTGGCCTCACATTCCATTGGCGTCTCTCCTCTCAATGACTGTCTTAAGGCAGTAATGGGCTGGATGAGGAAAAACAAATTGAGATTGAATCCAGACAAAATGAAAGTGCTCACGGTAGCGGCCCCGAAACCAAGGATTGGGTTGCAACCTCCAGTCCTGGATGGGGTCACACTCTCAACGAAGGACTGTGTTCACAGTCTGGGGGTGCGCCTTGATTCGTCGCTTCAGATGAATAATCAGGTGAATGTGACGGTCAGGAGTGCCTGTTATCAGCTTTGGCTGATACGCCAGCTGCGCCCTTCCTGGAAGTAAGGGATCTTGAGACCATGGTGCATGCGCTGGTTACCTCCCATCTGGATTTCCATAATGCACTCTACATCCATATAATCATGCTTGGTTCAGAAACTTCAGTTGGTACAAAATATGGCAGCCAGAGTGGTCTCAGGTACATTGCTAAGATACCACATAACTCCTCTGCTAAAATCTCTTCACTGGTGGCCTATCAGTTTCCGGGCCCAGTATAAGGTGTTGGTTATGACCTTTAAAGCCCTAAATGGCTTGGGTCCAACTTATCTTCGGGACTGCCTCTTCCCATATAATCCCCCACACACACTCTGATCCTCTGGGAGGAATCTTTTACAGCCAATAAAAACTAGGCTGTCGACAACCTCCCAGAGGACCTTTTTGGCCACCACTCCCAAATTATGGAATGGCCTGCCGGATGAGATCCGCCAGTTGACAACTTTAAGCAGCTTTAAAAAGGCTGTTAAGACGGATCTCTTCCGGCAGGCCTTCCCTGATTAGATCCCCCGGCTTCAGGAGTTTCCTTATCCCTTCTTTTTCTTCGGCTACAATTACTGCCCTGCCTACTATCGGTTTGTTTGTTTCTGGATTGTTTTTTAACTGAGTGTTTTAACTATCTTGTTTTAATGTTAAAATTGTTTAATTCTTTTTTAAGGGGTGGGAGGGTTGTGGGATTTGGATTGTATTTTAAAATTGTATGAAGTTTTTAAACTGTTGTGAGCTGCCCCGATTGCTTGACAGAGGGGCAGGATATAAATAAAATTTATTATTATTATTATTATTATTATTATTATTATTATTATTATTATTATTATGTTACCACTGCTGGCTTTTTGTAGAAGATAATCAGGATAAAACCTAGTTTTTAACTGTAGACAATGGGCATACATCTTCTGTTGTTTGACTTTAAATATCCTGTGTTCTTCCACACCAAAGAAATAGTGCATCCACATATTTTCCTTGGTAGTGGTTTGTATGTTTTCCAGACTGCTCTAATTCAGACTGTCATACAGAGAGTGTTGTCAGCATGAGAGCCCATGATCTCTGCTGTCAGCCTGTCAGAAGCCAGATGGTACCTGAAGTAGCCATTTGTCTAGATTGCATGACTCCAGCCTGAAAAGAGGGTTTGGGAAATGGTTAAAGCAAAAAAGAAACCAAGACTGATTTTTTTGATTTTTTTGATTTTATTTTTTGCATTGCCTCATGCTTCCAGACTATGTGGGAAACCAGAATGAGAAGTTTCTTTCTGTCTCTCCTTTTTTAAAAAAAAAAAAATGCAAGGAGCCATAGAGATTAGATCCCCCGTCTTCAGGAGTTTTCTTATCCCTCCTTTTTCTTCGGCTACAATTACTGCCCTGCCTACTATCTGTTTGTTTGTTTCTGGATTGTTTTTTAACTGAGTGTTTTAACTATCTTGTTTTAATGTTAAAATTGTTTAATTCTTTTTTAAGGGGTGGGAGGGTTGTGGGATTTGGATTGTATTTTAAAATTGTATGAAGATTTTAAACTGTTGTGAGCTGCCCCGATTGCTTGACAGATATTTTATTCTTTTTAATTTGTTACAAGATAGCACATATGGCTGTCCTCCTCCTCACTTTATCCTCAGAACAACCTTGTGAGGTAGGTCAGGCTGAGAGAGAGAAACTGGCCTGAGGTCACCCAGTGAAATTTGTTCACAGGAGGATTGCCATTGCCTTCCCCTCAGGCTGAGAGCATATGGCTTGCCCAAGGTCACCTTTCTTCATGGCGGAGCAGGGAATTAAACTCTGGTCTCTAGAGTTGTAGTCCAACACTCAAACCATTATGCCATGCTGGCTCTTGTTATCTATATGATATTATATTTATGGCGATACTGTGCCAACTACACAAAACTGCCTCGTGCAATAAAAGACGGTAGTGTATAGTGCAATGGTTAGACTGCTGTGCAGAGATGTTCTCACTCCACCAGAAGGCTCTCTAGATGGCAGATTGCATTTTATTGGCAAAAGTGTTGACTGTTTACTTCACAGGCAAATATCACTTTATGGCTTAGATATTGTTATGCACCATAATCCTTGAAAGTTCATTATGACAAGGAAAGAGATTTCTAAGACAGGTTTATCTTTTATAAACACATGGCGCCAAATCCCACAGAAAGAATATTTATTGTTTAATTTTCAAGTTAATTTTAAAGGATCAAGCCAGGCATGATGGTGACAATTCACAAATCTTCCTCTCTCCACCTCAGAAAGTTAAAAGCAGTAATGGGGAGAACCCAAAGAGATCAGGGCTGCACCACTGGGCAATGGAGGTTGCTCAGCCATTTTCCCAACATGAACTGCCATATAGCCTTCTCTTTGTGCATGAAGCCATGGGCTGAAAAAAATCAGCTAAAGTTGAGATGGACATTGAAGGCTAACAAATATGACAGCTGTCATATAGTACAGCTATTCTGAAGTAATAATCTGTTTGTTTTTCAAAGTGATCATCACCATTTAGGGAGAGGTTTGATGGGATCTCTAACAGCTGCCAAATGGTGGAAGTATCAAATCATCTGGAACTTGCCATCATCACAAACAGAAACACACAGAGTCATGTGGTACCCATAGCGGGTGTATGTTTTACAGGTAGTGTCCCTGGCTGTTGGACTGGGCCAGGATATTTGTCTATGGGGCTAGCCCCCTTCTCTTTTAATTTTATTGAAGTTGGGCCCATTCCAATACACAAGTCTAACCTGTGTTTCCTTGAAGCATTGCCAGTGTATCAGCACCACACCCCAGCACATGTACTAGCCAGCTGTTTTGTTTTGTTTGGTGTTATACCCCCAACACACACACATCCCTGTACATGCTATGTACACAAGTTCCTACTAAGAGTGGCACAGTGACTTTCTAGATATAACCAAACACAAATGCAACACTAGGTCCATTTTTATTATGTTCTGCTTTGTGAATTTTCTAGAAGGTTTTTTGGTTATTTGGAACCATCTGGGCAAGGACATTCCTGCACAGGATACCAGAAAATGTGTGCAATATTTTGGCAATTAAGAAGTCCCCAAAAACCATGAATATAAGACTCCAGCATGTGAGAATTCATCTACTGCTAATCAGTTGTGCTGTTTTATAGTTATATTCACTTTATGTAGAATTCAAAGACACAGCGTGTAAGTCTGGAAAATCAGTATGCAAAGGAATCTTGTAACACCTTTGAGACTAACTGAAAGAAAGAAGCTGGTAGCATGAGCTTCCATAGACTTGAGCCTATTTCCTCAGATGCTCATGCTACCAGCTTCTTTCTTTCTGTTAGTCTCAAAGTTGTTACAAGATCCCTTTGCATATTCATATTTTATACTTACTTATCTTTTGTTTCCAAGTTAGACAGCATCATTAATCAGAAGCAAGACAAGTAATAAGGCAATGTAGCATTCATAGCGTTTACCAGTTTAACAGGTAGGGGAGATGGTTGCTCAAACTGTGATCCTACCTAACTGCACTAGTCAAGCTCCAAATGAAACAAAGCAGTGTGGATTGACAGAAGGATTGCTTCTGTGGGCTGGCATCACTACCATCAGTCAGCCATCTACAGCTCAACTTGCCCACTCCTTCTGCAGGAAAGAACCTGGAACTTGGGCTGCATCATCAATTGCCAAGGGCCAGAAGACTCTGCAGATCAACAGAAGGACTGTGACTGTAGGTAATTTTAGCATCACCTAGCCCCAGAGTCTACCATCTGTAGCTCCTTCTGCCTCTTTTCTCTGGAAAAGAGAGCCTGGAACCTGGACTATGGCATCAACTACCAGGGATCAAAAGAGACTATAGATTGGTGGAATGGCTGCTTTTGTGCTTGGCATCTTAATCATCATCCATCTGCAGTCCCTTCTGCAGCTTTGTTCTTGAGGGAAGAGTTGGCAATCTAGAACATATCACCAATTGCAAGGGGACAGAAGGGCTGCTCATGCCCTGACACACACCACAAGAAGGTGCACTAATTACTGTAGTGTCATTTATAGGTTCTGTTCTGCATTATGCTTTGCAATCCAATCTTTATATCATCATTGTCATTGGCTTCAAATTGTACCTGCCAAGAAAGCAGATGTAGCTTTCCTTCCCATTCAGTGATTTTAACTGTGATTTGTTTGTTTGTTTATTATCTCACCTTTCCCATAGTGCTGGAACCAAGATGGCTACTGTTGGTACAATGGTGGCAAGGGCCCTAAACAAAATTGTTGGGATGCAGGTAGCTCACACTTGCAAATTTCCTATCCCTGCTATGACAGATTGAGTACATTCAGCCTTACACAGAATGCATAGACGTCCACATTTCCCAGATGAAAACTGGGACATCTATGGCCAAGCAACATCAGTGTATGGTCAAGATGAAGAATGAATGAAGTTCAGGGGCAGAACCACTGGGAATGGGGCTATTGAGAGTAAGGCTAGCACAAACAGCCATGTTCACTCTCCATGGATTTTTAGAAACTGCCCCTGGTTTCTAATTTGCTGCTTCTAATTTTCTATTTAACTTTTTAAAAATACAGTCTGCATAAATGCATAAAGACCCAGCATGATGTAGTGATCAGAGCATTGGACTATGACTCTGGAGACCAGGGCCAATTCTTGTTTAACCATGGAAGCTCACTGTATGCTCTTGTCTTGAGCAAGCTGCACACTCTCAGACTCAGAGGAAGGCAAAGACAAAACCCGTCTGAACAAATCCTGCCAAGAAAACCCAGTGATAGGTTCACTTTAGGATTGCCAAAGGTTGGAAACAACTTGAAGGCACGCAACAATAAAGTGCAATATGCCCTTCAGACATTATTCTGCATGGCAGAATCACCTCTGAAAGGGACAATGTACTTAACACAGAGTTGATGTGTATATATATATATGTGAATAAACTAGGAACTGCAAATAAGAAATGGTAGAAATGTTCACCTCTGCCTTCAACAAAAACAGATTGGCAGCGTTCACTGAATATAGTAAGTTCATATGTTGGTTGACCTTTATGTAAATAGCACCTCAGGGTATGAGTTGAAGCATCCTGAAAAAAGAATTGATTCTTTGCATGTATATGCCATGTCCATGTGATCTGAACTCTCTTGCCTGTGTCACACATTGGGAGATAGCAGTCTAAAAATGAAGAAGAGGGAAGGGAAGGGAAGGGAAGGGAAGGGAAGGGGATGTTCTAAAAGACTATTCTAATGACAATGTAATGATATAATATTTGAGAAACTGAAAAAAAGCTGCCAAAAATTTTACACCAATAAATCTAGCCAAATCTAATAGGGGAGGCAATGGCATCACTAGAGGGTGTGGGCCACACCAGATGACACCCTAAGGGTAGGTTACACCAATGCTCCTCAAATATTTGCATTTTGACAGAAATGAGCTGTGGCATTAGCCTGTATCTCTTTAAAATGCTGAAGCAGTAGGGTGAATGGGGTGAGGCTCTATGGGAAGATAAAGGAGAAGCCCCAGTTTCTAAAAATCCATAGAGAGTGAACATGATTGTTTGTGCTAGCCCTACTCTCAATAGCCCCATTCCCAGTGGTTATTTTACCAAATTTTCACTTTAACACTTTCACATTTTACCAAATTTTCACTTTAACCACATGAAACTATGTATATGTAAACATATTTATTCTGTGAGTATGATACTGTAATTTAAAGGTGCAATTTTAATTTTGCTAGTTGCTTATGTCACAACTATTACCATTACATTTAGTGATATATGGAAATTATGATTTATGATTAAATCAGTGCAAAAAACCCCAAACACATTACTAACTCTTCTATATGGTGTGGTATGGGAGAAAGTCAATAGAGGAGTGACACCATGAGTTACCGTACCACAACACCAACCCTAGTGATGCCATGGGGGGGGGGGAAATCTTTTCATGACTCTGAATGATAAAGTAGCAACTGAGAGAAGAAGAAAAAATTATGGAATTATCCCATTATCAGAAACTAATTCAACATAGGCAGATGATGCTTCCAGGAAGATCAAGTTGGAGTGAAAAATCAAATCCTCCCAAGTTGTTAAAAAGGCATTGATTTAATTAGCCTGCACCATGTTACACCATCCATTTGTGCTGATGCCTCTGACACCAGCTAATGCACAGCTTTGCAGTTTCTAAATTTATACCACCTTGCAGGTGCCCAGCAGCAAAGAAAATCGGATACTTATCACTACACCCTTCCTCTATACTGACTTAGGTTACCTCTATGCAATCATGATTTTTTGGGGGCAGCCTTCTCATACAGTAGCACTTTGCTTGCACCAGAATAACTTTATCCCACCAATATAGCAACAAATATTTTGGGGAGAAATATGTTGCCCACCTGTGTCCTAAGTTGCCTTGTTACTAATTGTCCTTTTTATTTGGATATATCAAGTTTCTCTCTGGCTTCTTTACTGCTTGCTTATGTTGTAGCTGGTTTGATAAATTATTTGCTTTTCGAAGCATATCCATGAGAAGCTTATGGTGTTTTTTTCTTTAATTGTTGTTCTTGCCTATATTAAGAAATGTACAAGCTGCATATCTTTTAGGAGAGGAGCAAGAAATGAGCAAATCTGAGAAGGAAGATTTGTTAGCAAGAAAATTCTCTTATTTTGCAACCAGAGCCAATTTGCAGATAGAAGAGCGAAGTTTAGACCAGTTTTTAAACACAGTCTGCCCTCTTTTCTGACAAGGGAATTCAATTTCGTTTCCAATTAAAACTAGTCCCCTCATTTGTCTGGAATCCAAGGCAGCTTTTACATTCTGTTTGCTGGGCCAGCAACATGCATGTTTCTTGAATGCTTTCTCTAGAGCTGTGTGAAGGCTTTAGCTATTAG